AATTTTATACTACAATTTATTTTACATTTATATTATTAATTTATTAAAATGGAATTATCATTTTATTTTTATATTAAATAGTAATATATTTGTTAAGAGTAAATCATATTAAAATTATTTGATAAATAATATTTTTTTATTATATTATATTATATTAATTCCAGTTCTTTATTTATTTAATTTACTATTTCATAATAATATATTTGATTTATTATTTATTTTACTTTATAATTTTTATACTTTATTATCTTATATAATTATTATTTTTATTTTTCTTTAATTAGTTTATTTTAATTTTATTTATTTATTAATTTTATTTTTGTATTTATTTTTCTCATTTAAAATTTATTTAATTATAACTTTATTTAATTTTAGTTCACGTTAATACATTAAATTTTATCTTACTTTATTTTAATTTATTTTTTTTCATTATTTTAAGTTAATTTAATTTATTTGAAGTTATTAGTATTATTATTATTATTTAATATTTAATTTGTAGTAAATTTACATATTATCATTTTATTTTATTTATTTACTTATTTTTAAACTATTTAATTCATTTCAGTATGATATATAAATTTATTTATGTTGAATAGATTACAAATCCATCCATATGGCCTAGTGGTTGAGCGGCCATTCCCTTCCTTTCCAACCCAGGTTCGAATCTGGTTGCCCACATATTATAACATTTGGGTTTTGCACATATTCAAGGGTAAAACAATAACTTTGGGGTGAAAAAATGAAGAAAAAGCTGCACAGCACGCGCGTGCACGCCGCTTCCGTCATCTTAGATGGTTTAGGGTGTTTCGCGCATGCAAAACCTTAATAGAAGAGGGTCTGAAGCAATTTTTAAAATACAAGGGGAAAGCGCGCAGATTTCGTATAATACAAGGGGGTACTGTATATTTTACCCTCCAGAAAACACGATTCCCTTTCTCTTTCTCTCCCAATCTCCAAGTTCCATGTTTCAAAATCATCATTGAGATTTCTGGGTAGCGAAATTGAAACCGTCGAACACCGATAGAGGAGATCATTTTTTCAGTTAAGGTATTTTGATTAACGAAAGTTTTATTCATGTTCCTTATCTTGGATTTTTCTTATATTATAAATGTAAATATCTTTGATTCTGTATGTGCTTTATTCAAAATTTAAACACTCTAGTCGTGTATACATGTGCCCTTCTTACAGGTGAGCGTGTGAGTTTTTAAAATTGGGAAATATTGAAATTGATTCTTCATTCTACTCAAAATGACATGAACTGACATGGGGTTCATAAGAACATTTGATTTATGTGCAATTGTTACATTTGTATTCTTTTTTTATATAGTTTATTTTTGTTATGTTTTTATGCATTGAAAGAGTCTGAATATATATTATTTCACATTTGAACTTGAAGTCTCATAAGATTTACATGAATGTGTTTTTTGTTGTACAGGGTTAAAATATTTCGAGAATAAACACTGCTAAATTAATTGTGTGGATTTCATGAGACCTTGTTTATTATTTCGATTTGTAATGTAAATGATGTTAATTATTTTACTTTTGATGCCCAGATTGGTGGCTTAACCCAAATGACTCAAATGCTTTAATAAGCTGTCGTGTCGTATTGTATACTCTGGCGTGCCACTATCTTTCGTCTCCTAGCCAATTTGCTCGGCAGCCATGATTAAGTTGTATATTTAGCTGAAAGCCTTTTGTTTGTAACTTTATTTATGTCATTGAGGTGTATGAATTTTTCTAGATGTTATGCAAATTTGGAATAAATTTAAAATTAATTTATATGTTTCTCATTTCTTCTTCTATTTTTCCTTTTGTTTCTCTATTCTGGCAAATAACAAGTACATTAAAACTGCTAGTAACTAGCATTCTTGTTTTACTTTGTTAATGACATCCGTAATTGTTCACATTGGTTGCGGAAAATATTACAGTTAAAGATTACACTTTGCTAACTATTTCTAAACTCCTTACATTCCGTTTATATCAAACATATATAGATACCGAAAAAAAAAGGTTGTCTAACTTAATGAATATATACTAGACTTTTGGAGCCATCTTTTTTAACATGTGGCTGCAAAATCACCTTAAATACAATTCCATGGGCATGAGCATTCTCTCTTTTGACATAAAAGAAGAAGAAGACTCGACAACCTGTTAGAACTTCACACTAAGTGTAAGAAAATTATTTCTTCTACACAACACAATTATCATTTGAATACTACATGCAAAGGGATTCTTAAGCTTCAACAATATGACAAGTTAAAGACAAAAGTTAGAATTGAGAAACATTAACTAATGCTCTATCCCAAGATATACTGTGTTCCCATGCTTATTGAAGAAAAATTGCAAACCAACTCAGAATTTTAGTTCTAAAACTAAATAAAATTTGTTGAACTCTGAAACTATCTTCTTAGCCAAATTAAAAATTCACCAATATCTCAACCAAATTCAAGAGGGTGAGAAAAATTTCAAAAAATACAAGTAAAACATAGATTCACTTTTATTTTTCTGAATAATGACGAGACAGAGTATGCAAACAAAAGTGCATGGCTGTGGACCCAAAATGTTGCAGCTCTTTCACTCTTGAACCATATCAAAACTTTCTTGATCTCCATACGTTGAAGCAACCATTTTTTTTTCCTCGACTTCATAGCCTGGTTCAACTATCGGTGTTAAAAACTAATATAATCATATAGACAAGGTATAAGCGATACATTTTCTTTACTTAAACGTGATTGTAACGACCTCTTCTTGTGTAGCTCTCTAGGATCTCATTTACTCGTTTTGAATTTTGGATCTAAAATTTGACTTTCAAAACAATTACCTGCTTTAGGACCAACATCAGGTTGTGGATGGAGATTACTTCCACAACTTGGTCGTTTATTTGTTGTGGATACATAATGGTATTGACTTGCAATGCAATTATTTATTTCAGACATATGTCTTTCATCTTCAGCGGCTACTACAACAATCATTGAGAATGAGCGACACAAATAATCATATCGTGACTGCTCGGGAGAGCTAACCCAACCGACATAATTTATTTTAACTCTCATATACAATCTACTGACATCTTTTGTCCATATACGATGCCGGTGAGAGTCGAGCCGCCGGTGAGATGCGCCGACGAGAAGCAACAAGATGGCATGGCAATCACGGCGAGAGTAGGGGCCACAGTGGAGGTGCTTCCGTGCGAGCGGTCGTTGGGGACGACCGGCGATCGGGGGGGGGAGAGGGAGGATGAGCGGTGATTTGTTGTACTGTGAAGAGTCTGCGTATATATGTGTGTGTAATGTGTGTGTGTACCGTATGTAATGTGTGTGTGGGAATTGTGTGAGAGGGAGAGAGAGCATGAGAGAGAGATTTGTGAGGGAGATTCCACGTGTCACATGTGAGTTGTGTGTTGGACGGTCCGGTTTGACGGTTAACCGGTTAAAGAGCTAGAATTTTTTGTTTCAGAGAGAAAAAAGAATCGTGGGTGGTGAGTCCTAAAAGACTCTTTGATTTGGGAAACTGTAGAGGGCCCACCCAGCCCTCTACAGTTCCACACCGCAGCTAACATTGGGAATTTGGGTGCCACTCTAGGTTGGCATCCCCCACCTTCTCAAGCACCACTTTGATCTTTTTCCCTGAAGCTTTCACCAACAATTGATCTTCCTCTTCAAAAGCATTGTTCATTTGAGCTGCTCTGCTCCTCTTGGAGCCTAATTCATTGTGATTAACTTCAACAAGGTCCTCCTTCCTCTGTAGCCTACCTTCTTTGTTGGCTGCTCTTATCCAAGTAGAGAGCTTGGACATGACTACCTCCTTAGGTTTATAAACTATTGGTCCAGGATTAGGTATAATTGCAAGTTCCAACTCCATCATTCTGTTTTCCTCTTGAGTTGGCTGTTCTGAGGGAATAATCTCCATTAGATGCTTTGGATTGAGAAGACTTGTTCAGAAATAGCTAGTTGTTGTGGAGAGGAATGAGTCTGTCTCCCTGAAGTAGATGCCACTGTGTCTTGTTGATTACTCTCAATGACAGGCCCTTGCAATGGAAGAGCTTTAGAACTCTCTGGATGCTGAGTTGATGAATGGGTGTGTTGAGATTTATCAGCTCCTTCTGTTGTTGGGTCTTTAGTAGGAGATTGCCTAGACCCTGAATAGTTATTCCCTGGCCATGAATACCCCTCCCACTTTAATCCAGTCTCCATATTTCCCATGTTTTAAGGTTTGGAGTCTGATATCTTCTAGCCTTTGATTGCAACCTCTATCAAGGTGGCCAATTAGACCACAAGAGTAGCATAAATTTACCAGTTTTTCATATTTGAATTCCACTTTGACAGTTTGATCTCCCAGTCTAATGTTGGCACATCTTGGCAGTGGTTCATTGATGTAGATGGTTACCAAGAGTCTAAGAATCTTACCCCCATGGTTCCCTGAATTTGCAACTACTACAATGCTAACTTGTGGGAATACTTTGCCAATTTTGAGCCCTACCTCAGCACTAAGCCAGTCAAGAGGGAGGTTAGTTACCTGTGACCAGATGTTGAGCTTTTGGAAACCTTTGTGCTTTCGAGTCAATCCTGATTCCCACTCTTTTAGAATTAAGTACTGGTTCCCATAGATCCATGTCTCGCTAGCCACTTTCTTTACATTTTCGCGGTTTTGAAACAAAAATTGGAAAAAGTTATGCCCTAGCTCTTTCACTCCCATTGATTGCTGCAATTTCCATATATTGCTCATAGTGCGCTTAATCCCAATCCAGCTTGCTTTACGATCCCCTACTACCACTTCAAACAAACTTCGGTGGCATTCCTCCGCACTCAGTCGAATGTCATCTGTTGCTATATCTACTACTAATTCTCTCTATCAGATAGAGAGAACCCTTGCAATCGATCTGCCAATTCCTCATCTCTTCCCAAACAAGTACGGTCTGCCATAATGAACCCCTTAGAAAGGGCTAGCCTGAATATGAAGATCCCGCCGATCTCACAGAAGATAATCGCCGGAGTTGCTCTCAGAAGAGAGAATTTATTAAAAAAAAAAATATTCTTCAAATTAATATAATTTACCATTTAAGTGATTATGACCAAATACATTAAATAGTTTTATTAATGGTCAAAAAATCAATTGAAATATATTAACTGCTATTTAGAATTTATTTATTATTATTATTATCAACTATGTTTAATTTTTTTTATCATTAAAATATGTTCATTGCAAAATATGCTAAATAAACTATAAAGTGTTATGATGCAAATTAGAAAAATCTCTTGATTATAGAAGAGATTGAGTTTTTGGCATTAGTTAAAGGAAAGTTGTTTAATTACTATTCAAAATTAAAATTCTAAAAAAACATTGTGTATATTTGGTAAAATATTTATACACTGTTACATAATTTAAATTGATTACATAATAAATAATATTAACGTGCCTTAAATATTTCTCATTGCATAAAATAAAAAGAATAAAAGGATGTACTGCTTCTACAACTTTTATAAAAAATAATGACAATATATGACAACAAAGTTTATAATAAAATAATAATTAAGTATTATATGATGAACCAGAATAAGTAAAACTGTTATTTTCTATTATATCAAGAAAGGAATATATATACTAAAAATAAATATTATATTAGTATAAATGTGTTAGTGAGATAATATATTAATTAATTTACAGGCTAACGCTAACATGCTGATATTTAATGTCTGGTTAAAAAATAATGCTGATTAAAAGTGGTATAAAATGGATGATTCAACTCTATTTTTTAGACTTAAACGGACAATATGTAAAAATGACTCATTTAATATATTTGTCCCACGCATCGCACAGGCTACGTACTAGTTGCTATTATATAGTAATATATTAATTATATATGCTACCAACAGCAATAAATTAATTATCATATGTATTAAACAATCAATATGCACATCTCATAAATAAATATAAAGTATATTAAATAAATAATGACAATATATATATATATATATATGAAAATAAATAAATAATTACAACTATTATGGTCATTAAATATGCAAATTATTGATATTCGTATTATTATTATTAATATTGATTGACTGGATTCTGTAACAAAATTGACACGTTTGACCGGAAAAACTTAAGGAAGTGATTGACTGGATTTTTCTGAAGCAAGATTATCAATATTCTTTCTCATTATTGGCCATATTTACTTGTAGCATTTAACGAAATTGAAGTTGTACAACAATATACACAAACAACCGAAATAGCGCTAGACAAATAAAGTAGTAAACTTAAAAAAGTTCACCCAATTGCGGAAGCAAAAATACTTTGAAATGAACCTTCAGAACAGCATCCCACTCTCCCCTCGTATATCTTTCATTAATGTAGATCTCACAACAATTACTCAGAGGTTTACAATGTAAACTCCCTCTACACTATACTTGAAGTAACCTATTTACATAACTACTTTCTTTTTTTCGTTTTTAAAAGAAAACACTAAGGAGCGTGAGGGGTTAGACCAGACCCCCAACCTGTATATATAATGGCTCTAAATGGGCTGAAAAGTCAAAAGTCTACAAGTCCACTATCTGAAATACAACAAGTCAAACGAAAAGCAAAACTAGAAACGAAAAATAAAACAAGAAAAAGTTGGCAATAGCTGCCAGTAACACAACGATAACGTCTCCTAGTCCGGAAAGAGTCCAGGAAAAAAAGTCAGTCACGGGAGGGCGGATCTACACAACTAATCCGACCACAACTCCCTTGCGGTAAAAGTCATTTTTGTATTTATTTTTCTCATTTATAATTTATTTAATTTTAGTTCACGCTAATACATTAAATTTTATCTTACTTTATTTTAATTTAATTTTTTTTCATTATTTTAAGTTAATTTAATTTATTGGAAGTTATTAGTATTATTATTATTATTATTTATTATTTGATTTATAGTAAATTGACATATTATCCTTTTATTTTATTTATTTACTTATTTTTAAACTATTTAATTCATTTCCGTATGATGTATAGATATGTTTACGTTGAATAGATTACAAATCCATCCATATGGACTAGTGGTTGAGCGGTCATTCCCTTCCTTTCCAACCCATGTTCGAATCTTGTTGCCCACATTTTATAACATTTGGGTTTTGCACATAATTCAAGGGTAAAACAGTAACTTTGGGGTAAAAAAATGAAGAAAAAGCTGCACAGCACGCGCGTGCACGCCACTTCCGTCATCTTAGGCGGTTTAGGGTGTTTCGCGCATGCAAAACCTTAATAGAAGGTGGTCTGAAGCAATTTTTAAAATACAGGGGGGAAGCGCGCAAATTTCGTATAATACAAGGGGGTACTGTATATTTTACCCTCCAGAAAACACGATTTCCTTTCTCTTTCTCTCCCAATCTCCAAGTTCCATGTTTCAAAATCATCATTGAGATTTCTGGGTAGCGAAATTGAAACCGTCGAACACCGATAGAGGAGATCATTTTTTCAGTTAAGGTATTTTGATTAACGAAAGTTTTATTCATGTTGCTTAATCTTGGATTTTTGTTATATTATAAATGTAAATATCTTTGATTCTGTATGTGTTTTATTCAAAATTTAAACACTCTAGTCGTGTATAAATGTGCCCTTCTTACAGGTGAGCGTTTGAGTTTTTAAAATTGGTGAATATTGAAATTGATTCTTCATTCTACTCAAAATGACATGAACTGACATGGGGTTTATAAGAACATTTGATTTATGTGCAATTGTTACATTTGTATTCTTTTTTTTTTTATATAGTTTATTTTTATTATGTTTTTATGCATTGAAAGAGTCTGAATATATATTATTTCACATTTGAACTTGAAGTCTCATAAGATTTATATGAATGTGTTTTTTGTTGTACAGGGTTAAAATATTTCAAGAATAAACACTGCTAAATTAATTGTGTGGATTTCATGAGACCTTGTTTATTATTTCTTGTAATGCAAATGATGTTAATTATTTTACTTTGGATGCCCAAATTGGTGGCTTAACCCAAATGACTCAAATGCTTTAATAAGCTGCCGTGTCGTAGTGTATACTCTGGCGTGCCACTATCTTTCGTATCTTAGCCAATTTGCTCAACAGCCATGATTGAGTTGTATTTTTAGCTGAAAGCCTTTTTTTTCTAACTTTATTTATGTCATTGAGGTGTATGAATTTTTCTAGATGTTATGCAAATTTAGAATAAATTTAAAATTAATTTATATGTTTCTCATTTCTTCTTCTATTTTTCCTTTTGTTTCTTTATTCTGGCAAATAACAAGTACATTAAAACTGCTAGTAACTAGCACTCTTGTTTTACTTTGTTAATGACATCCATAATTGTTCACATTGGTTGCAGAAAATATTACAGTTAAAGATTACACTTTGCTAACTATTTCTAAACTCCTTACATTCCGTTTATATCAAACATATATAGATACTGAAAAAAAAAAGGTTGTCTAACTTAATGAATATATACTAGACTTTTGGAGCCATCTTTTTAACATGTGGCTGCAAAATCACCTTAAATACAATTCCATGGATATGAGCATTCTCTCTTTTGTCGTAAAAGAAGAAGAAGACTCAACAACCTGTTAGAACTTCACACTAAGTGTAAAAAAATTATCTCTTCTACACAACACAATTATCATTTGAATACTACATGCAAAGAGATTCTTAAGCTTCAACAATATTACAAGTTAAAGACAAAAGTTAGAATTGAGAAACATTAACTAATGCTCTATCCCAAGATATACTGTGTTCCCATGCTTATTGAAGAAAAATTGCAAACCAACTCATAATTTAAGTTCTAAAACTAAATAAAATTTGTTAAACTCTGAAACTATCTTCTTAGCCAAATTAAAAATTCACCAATATCTCAACCAAATTCAAGAGGGTGAGAAAAATTTCAAAAAATACAAGTAAAACATAGATTCACTTTTATTTTTCTGAATAATAACGAGACAGAGTATGCAAACAATAGTGCATGGCTGTGGACCCAAAATGTTGTAGCTCTTTCACTCTTGAACCATATCAAAACTATCTCGATCTCCATACTTTGAAGCAACCATTTTTTTTCCTCGACTTCATAGCCTGGTTCAACTATCGGTGTTAAAAACTAAGTTTTATAATATAATAATATAGAAAAGGTATAAGCGATACATTTTGTTTACTTGAACGTGATTGTAACGACCTCTTCTTGTGTAGCTTTCTAGGAGCTCCTTTACTTGTTTTGAATTTTGGATCTAAAATTTGACTTTTAAAATAATTACCTGCTATAGGACCAACATCAGGTTGTGGATGGAGATTACTTCCACAACTTGGCCGTTTATTTGTTGTGGATACATAATGGTATTGACTTGCAATCCAATTATTTATTTCAGACATATGTCTTTCATCTTCAGCGGCTATTACAACAATCATTGAGAATGAGCGACACAAATAATCATATCGTGACTGCTCGGGAGAGTTAACCCAACCGACATAATTTATTTTAACTCTCATATACAATCTATTGACATCTTTTGTCCATCGTCGTAATATGTACTTATCGGGAAATTCAGTTATATCCAGCCGTGTCAAAATCATTAGAGCATGCCTACAAACAATGCAAGCTTTAGCCAAAGTGCATGGTTGGATGGGGCCTAAGAGAATTGCTCCATGTGCTAGCTCGATTGCCCTCTCTACAACACGCGTGTGTCACACTTATGAATTCCCCATCATTTTCTTTTCTCGATTTTATTTTTACTAACAGGAAATCCAACACGAGACGCATATTCATTGTAAAAAGCGTACACATCTTCAAGCGCCTTGAACTTCATCCCGATAGTAGGCACTTGTGAATCCCTTTTTTCTCCAATGATTTCCACTTCTTGCATATTATCAATTTCTTTTTGCACCTCAATATCTTCCAAATTATCATCACGCAATTGAAGCTCAGTGTTAACTATGAAATACATAAAATTTTAAAATCAAATTTAATAGGATTATTGGTTTCTCTGTCTTTCTTTTATGGTTCGATGGTATTAATATATTTTACAAAATAATACTTATATCATGTGACCACACAATTGACATGAATCGGGTTTGGAGGCAAAACTTCCTCTCAATTTTTTTTTTTGAGCTTGCGCAAAATCAACAGAGATATCAGTATCACATAGGTTTATGATTACTAACCTGATATGACATAATGATGACTGCTATAGATGATCTTCAAAGGTAAATAGAGATACAACTAGAGAGGAAAACTATCAAGGCTTTAATTTTTGTGTGTTGTAATGCCTCGAGTGTTTACGTGGTGGTGGGAAAAAAAGAGAAGTTTAAAGATCAATATAATTTGACCCTAAAATATTAAGAAAGCTGGAAGGTCATTTTTTTGGGTGCCGTTGCATCTCAATCGACGAGGTGGAGTAAGGATGACGAAGAAGACGGTGGCGGCGGTTGCCGGTGTGTCGGAGCTTGACGGTGGAGGATGATGTCAGTGAAGTCAAGATTAAAGCCGACATTCTGGATCTCCACCATGGTACCTGGTGACATGCGGCGGTGCCTAGGCCGTCGATCAGACACGATGCCGGCGAGAGTCGAGCCGGCGGTGAGATGCGCTGACGAGAAGCAACGAAATGGCATGGCAATCACGGCGAGCCGACGAGAGTAGGCGCCACAGTGGAGGTGCTGCCGTGCGAGTGGTCGTTGGGGACGACCGGCAATGGGGGGGGGAGGGGACGGGCGGTTTTTGTCCCATTTTTGTTATCTTTTTGCTTGTTGGTTTATAGGTTTTTAGCCCCCGATTTGGGTTTTTTGATAGGATTTTCTGTCCTCGAGTCGTTTGTGTGATGTCTTTCCTATTACTTTGTTATTTTCGTATATTCGTTGGCTTTCTCTGTTTTTCGGGTATTTTCTTATTCTTGGAGGTGTGCAGGTTCGGATCTTTGACTAAGTGTTTGAATTTATCAAGTCGAGTTGTCACGGTTTTACAAAACACATGTACGTATGAAGCCTTTCTAGTTGCCACATTCCCTTCACGGCGTGACCTCGCACGTGGAGCCCTTAACGGGCCTTCAGACCGTTCTTTTCAGTCGCCACGCCGCGACGATGCCGGCGCCGCGACACTCCTGTTCTCCCACGCCGCGACGGCCTCCCGCGCCGTGCCATCTTTTCTCTCCATGCCGTGAGACTCTTAACGGGCGGACAGAGACTTTGGCACTTCACTCCCATCACGGCGCGGCAAGTGTAGCGCTGTGGCACCTCCTTCTCTTCACGCCGGGGCCTCATGTCACGTCACACCTCACGCTAGCCACGTCACCATGCCGCGCCACGGAAGGCTTCACGCCGCAAAACCGAGTCTTTTGAATTTCGTAATATGTTCGCGTTTAAGTAGGATCGAGCGAGGGTTTGAGAGATCATTCTGCACTTTTCATTTTTCTCTTGTTTTATCAGACGAATAACTTAGATCCTTTTATCTTTGCTTATTTTTGAGATTTTTTGGAGTGACACCCAAGGATTTTGATCGTGAATTGGATTGTGCTTGAGATTCAACACTTGACTCTTATTTATCGTAAGCTTTCTTCTCATGTTGATTATGAGTTTGGAGTATTTACTTTATACTATGTCTTGTGTTCATCTTGGCATGAGTGGCTAAATTCTTAAGCTAGAGATAGGGGGTGATTACTCATACTCGTGTGCTTATCTTGCTTGTGAATTTCGTTCAATCTTTTCGAGTTGATTTAAACCTAGGGTTAGATGCTTGATCACCATTCTGATCTAACTAATCGACTTGTAGAACCGAAAGGGGAGAAGTCGGTCGATCCAGGATCGACTAGAGTAGGCTTGTTCGTAATTGTATTGCCTACATGTTAATTGATTGGTATGATTTTCCGTCTATATTTTTCCTCTTGTTACGAGAAGTTATTGAGGAATAATTTCTAGATGTGTAGGTTGATTGAATCATTTAGCCGATGTTCGAATCTTTCGATTCTACTCTGGTAAAAATAACTACAACAAAATGGCGCCGTTGCCGGGGAGGGTTTAGGACTTATTTTGTGTGCCTATTCATTTTGTTTTTAGTGTTTCTCTTATTTTTTTGATTTCTTGTTTTGTGTGTTTCTCTTTGTTTCGTTTTCTTTGACTAGTTCTAGTGTTTTCTTGTTTTGTTTTTCTTTGTCTCTTTCTTATCTATCTGGTGCCCGTGACGTTTTTGTTGTTTTTGTTTATGCGTACCAGGAGTGGTCGTGTAATCATCCCGAGCAACGAATCCATCCAGAAGGACCTCTAAGAATTATTGGCTAACCTTGCCCCTGCATCTTCAGACTCAGCCAACTGAGACTCAGAAACCAAGGAGACATGGCTGATGAGGAAGTGAATAACCTACCTCGTCATCTCCTTCGTGATTTGGCTCAACCAATAATCGGGCCAGTGACTTCATGCATCCGGCTGGGGCCAGCAGCTTGGAATTACAAGCTAAAAACAATCCACTACAACCAGCTGCCATCTTTCCATGGTCTACCCAACGAGGACCCACTTCATTCGGGAGTTCTATAATGTCCTCCAGACCTTCCCTCTCCACAACTTAAACGAGGACCAGCTGAAAATGAGGTGTTTTCCCGAAACACTCAAGGACCGGGCCAAGGCTTGGTTCATGACACTTGCTCCCGACTCCCTCACCACTTGGGAGCAAGTGTACACCAAGTTTATTGAGAAATACTACTCTCACCAGAAGACGCAGGAGTTCCGGTCTCAAATCGTTTTCTTTGCCCAACAACCGAACGAGCCGCTTTATGAAGCATGGGAGCGCTTCAAGGACCTCCAGAAGCAGTGCCCACACCATAACTTCCCACCTGCCTTGTTAATGAACAGATTCTACGACTCTCTCCACTAGAATCTCCAGTACATGGTGGACAATGCAGCCGGTGGAGATATTTTGGCAAAGACGGCCGAGGAGATGAATGATATTTTTGAGGCGATGAGTTCTAACTCGTCTCAAAAGAGCAGTCGAGGAAAGAGGGCCGGAGTCCACGGAGTATCTTCTGGGCAAGATATGATGGCTCATCAGATAGCAGAGCTCACAGAGCAGATGCGGCTATTGAATGCAAGTGGAGGCAAGCCAATGCAGACTATGACCGTAGAGGCGTGTGGAGCATATGGATTCCAAGGGCACAGGTCCGAGATGTGCCCCTCGGCATTCGATCAGGATTTTGGAGAACAGTATGAAGATGTCAATGCTCTTCAAGGCTACCCGAACCGGCCTGCCAACGACCCATACTCAAACACGTATAACCCAGGGTGGAGAAATCACCCAAATTTCTTATGGTCCAACATCAACAATACCCAACAGCCTCCTCGACAGAATTTCATGCAGTAACAGCCCTGACCCACCTTCATTCCCCAATAGCAGATGAGGCTAAACTATCCTTAACAACAGAAACAACAACAACAGAGGGGTCCGATGGGAGGAGTACAAGCACAAGGGGCCGACTCTAGCTCATCAAATCAAGACGACAAACTGGACAAGATTCTCCAGTTTATGCCCAACAGTGAGCAAAGGGGCTTGAACACAGACGCATCCATCAAACGCCTGGAGACACAGTTGGGCCAACTTTCTACGAGAGTGGGGAACATGGAGGCCGACTCAGACAAGGGGAAGTTACCTAGCCAGCCTAAAGAAGCCAAAGCCATAACGGTGTTGAGAAGCGGGAAGGAAGTAGACAATCACGTGGAAATGCCCAAACTTGATGACCCTAAGCAGATCGACCAATCCAAGGGAGGAGAGGAGAGCTCGAAGAAGAATACAGAAGCTGAGCCAAGGAAGCAGAAAGACGGCCCAATGTTACACAAGTCACCAAACCCTTTCAAACCAAACATACTCTTCCCGAGCCGACTACGAGATGAGAAGCAGGAACAACAATTCCGGGACATATACAACATGCTCTTGAAGGTCAACGTCAACCTACCACTCCTAGACGTGATGAAGAATATGCCCTCGTACGTGAAGTTCTTCAAGGACTTAGTGACGAAGAAGAGGAAATTGGAGACGGGGAGAAGGTAGTGGTCTACGAGGCTGCAAGTGCTCTGCAGCATGATCTTCCGAAGAAAGAACGGGATGGTTTCGTGATTCAGATAGCTCTCGAAAACGGAAATGAGGCTTCAGGGATGCTGGACCTTGGAGCAGGGATCAACCTCATGCCGTTCTCTATGGCCACCACCAACACCCTAATTGATGTCAAGAACGGGACATTGAATATGACGGTCCTGGGCGAGTCAGTATCCATCTCTATTCGAGAAGCCATATCTTCCTCCTCGGTGAAGTTTGTGGAGGAGTGTGCCTTTGTTGATATTAGTGTCCCGTTTGTGGAGGAAACGACTATACGTGACTACGAAGAGAGGACAATGCCCGATCTAGACGATTAAGAAGAGCCAACCATTGAGCTCTTTGCAGCCGAAGAAACCCACAGCCGAGCAACTCCTACTTTGGAACTCAAAGAACTACCCCGCCATCTCAAGTATGTCTTCCTTGAAGACGAGAAGCAAAAGCCGGTTATCATTTTTGCCGAGCTTAATCGTGACGAGGAGAAGGAGTTGATTGATGTGCTCAA